GACCATGCCCATCCCTTTACAGTGTACCCATCTTCTGATGGCTACTTCCAGCAGGATAACACACCATGCCAAAAAGCGTGAAATATCTCAGACTGGTTTCTTGAACATGACAATGAGTTCACTGTACACAAATGGCCTCCACAGTCACCCGAGCTCAATCAAATAAAGCACCTTTGAGATGGGATGGATGTGCAGCCAACAAATCTGCTGCAACTGCGTGATGCTATCATGTCAATATGAACCAATATCTCTGAGGAATATTTCCAGTACTTTGTTGAATCTATGCCACGAAGGATTAAGCCAGTTTTGAAGACAAAATGGGGTCCAACCTGATACTAGTAAGGTGTACCTAATAAAGTGGCCTGGTAGTGTATATTTCAAGCTGTTTGTTGCCAATCAACAGTTTTATGTAATGTAACAGATCTAAAAACGAATAATCATTTAGAGCACTTAACCCTACGCCAAACCCAATCAATCAACATTAACAGACAGATACAACTAGTCAGAATGTACAAAATGAACTACAATGTTTACGAAGCTTTACTTACAATTTTTAACCGGTTTGTTTGACGTAAGTTGAGATAACTAGAAAAGTTAATTTGATTCAACAAAAACTATACACATGAATCATTTTTGTTACTATAAATTTACAAATATACGCCATGCCTTTTGATGCCAAACAACCGTTTTATATGATGTAACAGATCTAAAACGACTGATTTTCAACTCCATCCACAGCATAAACTGTGATCACGTTCCTAATTTGCAGATTTGTTATGTCAGCTTTGATTTTGAAACGCCATTGGCTCTTGTGTGTCTCATGACGAACTGCATTACAAACTTCATATTTATCTTTTGCATAATATGCGCCTGCCCTAATGGAGTGCGATCATTTTCAGAGATTAAAGCCTTAAGTTCCTCTGATCTTCATATAAATAGACTGTATGGAGACTTGCAGTTCACCATCACTCATTTGTAATGCTTTTATGGAGGGTTTTTCTGAAGTAAATTCCTTTGACTTTTGAGCTCCAACATTCCTGGAGGATACCGGGAGATATACATAATGACTGTAGTGTGGTTATTGCTGAACAAACCTTTTCTTTTTTTGTTCTCTATTGAGAAAGTGCCACTGATATAATACAGTAGCAACACATGTATGGTGTAAACGCCAATGCTGCAAGTTGACACACAAGCCACAGTGATGGTAACAACCAAAAATAGTGCTAAAGATTTATAAATATACACTCACCGGCCACTTTATTAGGTACACCTGTCCAACTGCGCAAATTTCTAATCAGCCAATCACATGGCAGCAACTCAATGCATTTAGGCATGGCCAACATGATCTGCAGCCATCTTCTGATGGCTCCTTCCAGCAGGATGAAGCATAAAGCGTGAATCATCTCAGACTGGTTTCTTGAACATGACAATGTTATCACTGTACTCAAATGGCCTCCACAGTCACCAGATCTCAATCCAATAGAGCACCTTTGAGATGTGGTGGAACAGGAGATTGGCATCATGGATGTGCTGCTAACAAATCAGCAGCAACTGCATGATGCTGTCATGGGAATACGGACCAAAACCTCAGGAATATTTCTAGTACCTTGCTTTATCTATGCCACAAAGGATAAAGGCAGTTCTGAAGGCTAAACGGGGTCCAACCCGGTACTTGTAAGGCGTACCTAATAAAGTGGCCGGTGAGTGTACATCAGCTGTAGACATGCAACATACTGTAATAAAAGTATTGACAATATACCTAATGTATTCATGTCAGGCATGCATTGTGGATGTCAATCAGTAGACTACCAAATTATTATGCACAGACTTCACTTTCACCTACTTAACTGTCCTCAAACATGCTCGATATGTCAGAAATTCACAAAAGAGGTCTTGGAGAAGCATTTCAAAAAGCCACAAAGTCATAATGCCTGCTTCTTAAGCATATTTGTATGGCAGAAGCAGTGATTCTGTTGCCAAAGTTGTCCTGTTTTCTCAAAAATAATGAATATAAAGACATAAGCATGTGACAAATATAAAAAAAAAAAACTGGGCAATTAATATTTACAAAAGAAAATGTTTTTAGTGAAGTATAAGACATGCAGTCTCTTTTAATATGCAGATATGTGAGTAGCTGACATGGAATTTCAAGCATTCTGTAATGCAATTACACAAGCAATTTCTATGAACTCAAGTATTCATTTTTACATGACTTATTCATCTTCAGTATTTTATTTGTCACACCACTATTTAGGTGAAGTGATAAAAGTCGAAATATGATAACAAAGAACGAAGTATTGTTCCACAAAGTAGAAAATATGCGTAAATTTGCAGTTTTCTGTATTTTGTGATTAATTTGTGATTTTTTTCTGCATTTTGGGACCTTAAACTTTAAACCTTGAAATTTTTTTAAAGTGACTTTTATTAAAAATTTTACTAGTTTAAAGTGATATATTGTCTGTGTTGGTGTTGTATATTGCAGTACAAAAAACTGCCAGTACATTTTCTCTTTAGTCAACAGACTTAATTCTCTATATATTATTTTGTATACATTAAATTATTTCAAACGGCTCAAATGTCAATAAAAGACAATTTGTTAACCTGTAGAGTTGAATTTTCAACATCAAATGTTGACAGAGCAGAGATCAACATCCCATAATGCAATTCACAACCAAAAATAAACGGAACACATCACAAAATACGGCCACTGTTAATTAACGCATATTTTTTACAATGTAGTCGTCACACCAATACTGTAGTCCGTTCCTGCCCCATGCACACACAAACTTTAGCTAAAACTATTTGTAGGTGTTTTACTTCAAACTTTACTTTTGCTTTACTAATATTTTATGTCAATATTAGTGGGGCCTATTTCCATGATCTTGCCTGGAGCCCCAGAAACCCGCAGGCCAGCCCTGAGGGTGGCCATGTGGTTTGGTGCTCAAATAAGAATGACTTTTTTTGTAAATGTAGAACTGAATATATGCATATACACTGAAAAAATGATGTCTGCAAAATTGTTGCAAAGTTAAATTTAAACAAACAAATTAAAATGCCAATGTTCAACTTAATTTATTTGTTTAAATTCAGCCCAAATAAATTGTTTACAACCACTTACCTTAAAAATAAAACAGTAAATGCAAAGAATCAAATTTGAATAATCTTTTTCAGTGTATATTTAGTATATACTTTTAATATATTGAAAATAATGAATATAGGATAAGCAACTAAAAAATCATTTTTTAACAGCTTCGAGAGTGAGAATAGACTAACATATGCATGCTTGTTGACATATTGATCTTCTTATAATCTTCATTATCTTGTAATGACAACGCATAACTTTCTTGTTTATGCTGTGACAAACTGCAATTTTCAGCTTCAATTTTTGGGTGGTTAGAATTTTAATGGAACGTATTTGATGATGTATAAAAAGTGTGGAAAAAGCAGCATCCTTTTACATGCCACATCACATCACTGAGTAAGAATGCCTGTTTTTAATAATTATATTTTAATTAGCAGGTTCCGTATTTCATAATTTTGAGGGTTTTTTTTTGTTTGTTTATTTGTGAATTGTATTATGAGATATTATGAGCTTGTATTATGTATTATGCTGGCTTGTATTATGATTTTATTATGAGATGTTGGATTCGGCAGTCTATTTTCGATTATGAAAATTAAACTGTGTACACTGTAAAAAAAAATTTAGGTTCCACACAATCGTTTTGTGTTGGGACAACCTAAATGAATTAGGTTAAATTATTATTATTATTATTATTATTATTATTATTATTATTATTATTATTATTTTACAAATTTAAATGGATTAAACATAAAATAATTAAGTTGCTCCAATAAAATCTCAAGATTTGTGTTTTCAACTCATTTTAAATAAGTAGTTTGAGCAAGCAACAAAAAAATGTTGTATTAAACTTCATACTAATGTTTTAGTGGTTCAAAATTATATATTGTATAATACATAATATATAAATAATTAAGTCTGTAAAATTAAAAAAAAAAATACTGACAGATTATACTGAAAAAAGTATTTCTGCAAAACTGTTGCAAACTATTTATATGTGTTGAATTTAAACTAAAATTAAATTTAGTAATGTTCAACTTAGTTTGTTTAAATTCAGCCCAAATAAATAGTTTACAGCCACTTAACTTTAAAACATTGTAAATCCAAGGAACCATATTTGAATCACTTTTTAGTGTATTACCAGGTTTTTGTAGCGTGCAACACCAAACCAGACAATAAATCACATCAAACTACAAAAGAAATGTCAATAAAAGTCACTTTTGCAACATCAAAAGTTGTTAGACAAAAGATCAAGGTACCATAATGCAAATAAAAGCCATAAATAAATAATAACAATAATAAAAAAAACATGAATCACAAAATACAGAAAATGTAAATTTACGGATTTTGACTGTATATATTTTTTCTCAGATGCCTGCATCAAAGCACTATTTCTAAAGATGATTATCAATGCATAGGTAAACCTAAAGTTTATAATAAATTAGATTTATATGATGGTAGCTACTGTACAAAGTTGTAACAAATAAGCCATAAAGCATTAACAACAGACAGCATCTTCAGTCTACGTGCCATACAGTGGAAATACGACAGCGAGCATCAATTCTCAACACAAGGCTTTTAGACAAGCTTGATGAATTAAAAGAGGAGACTGTGGCACCCCCTAGGGCTAGTGATATCCCTAAATGCTAGCCAGTATTTAGACAATTGCCACTATCCATCCTTGACATTCAACAGTCAGGCAATATTAAGTGTTGAAGTGGATTAGGAGAGTCAGCAAGACACATCATCAAGAACGAACACCGCACAAATGAGCATTGCTTTCATGACAATTAACAGAAAGAAAGAAAGAAAGAAAGAAAGAAAGAAAGAAAGAAAGAAAGAAAGAAAGAAAGAAAGAAAGAAAGAAAGAAAGAAAGAAAGAAAGAAAGAAAGAAAGAAAGAAAGAAAGAAAGACACTTACCAGACCATAGACGAAACTCAGCAAGGTGCCGCAGAAGAGAAAGCCTAAAGTGCGTACGATAAGCGTGGCTCCCATCCCGACGCAAGTTCACGCAAATGTGCTGTCAGTTTAAAATGGGATTTCTCTGGTGTTTACGTCTGTTTAAGCGCCTTCAAAGAGCCAGTCATTTCGCTTCCATCTCCTCCCCTCCCATTAGTACATCGTTTGCTGGTATATAAAAAAGTATGAATATTCTCTCACGGCTTTTTCCTTGTCACAGCTTTGCAGGCTCGATTCAAACTGTTCCCACTCTCTCTCTCCCGCTCGCGTTTTATTTCTCTGCATCTGTCTGCCTTTTCTTTCTTTTTTTCTGAAATTACATCCACATGTCAGAACTATTTATGTCCTTCTCTCTTCTGCGGTAGGAAGTTCAAATGATTCTTTGTGGAGTAGAAACCGACACTTTATTTTTAGGTCTTTTAAATTTCCCTTCAGCCCTGAGGTAAAAAAGCGGCATAATAAAGCGGTGTCCCTCAGACTCCGAGCTGCTTCATTTTCTCTCAAGACATCAAAAACGGCGAAAAGTAACGGTTGAAACGGTCTTAACGGAAACTGATGTGGTAAATGTAAGCAAAATACACACAATATTCGGGCTTTACAGTTCTGGCACAGCTACTCAGGCGCAAATGTGTTCAATACGCTTAAAGTTTGCTTATTTATAAGCAAGTAACTCAAAACATGCTGCTAAATACCTCACGAGTCTAACAAAGTTTCACATCAATCACTAAACTGACATGCGCTTTACGTTAGTTTTGAGGCAGATGTGGATCTGACAGCCGCATTGTGAGGATAAACGCCAAACAAATTTGACAAAGTAATGTCAAACAAATCCGTTGACGTCGCGTTCTGATGACAAACATTATATTAATGTTATCTATTAATAAAAAAGAAAGTTGTCTTCATTGACAAAACGGCTCCAGACACGAACACGTCGGTAACCCTCACTGAACCTCTGGCTGTAGTACATATTGAAGCGGAGAGTGAAAGAGGCAGGTATTGCCAAGAGAATGTTGGATTCTGATTGGCTCACAAGGGAAGGGGGAGCGATTTTATTGGCTTACGGTCTCAAGGGTTTCATTACACCTCGACACGCGGGCCCCGCCCCTTTCGCACAAGCCGCGCATTCAGTGCTGTGCTTTATGTTGGCAGAAGGTGGTTTCACAGCGGTCCGCGTCCACACCGTGCAATGCAACCGATGAATATATGCAGATTCAATGCTGGGTAAAACATTTTCACTGGCTTCTGAAATACATCTTTCAGCAATGGTTTTAATATTTGCCTTTTTTATTGCATACATTCTTGAACAGTTGAGTCTGCTTGTCAAAACATCTCGGCTTGCAAATCTGGCTTTAGTTTTATATTAACTCTTATTGACACTTTTTGCTGATATATA